ATAATTTAAAAAAATTTGTAGGAGATTTGGAAAAGAAAAAGCTCTGTTCATATCTGACTAACCACAGCATTTTTTCTATAAGAATTTGTCTTAGGTTTTTTTGATGAATTCGTATTTCGGTCTACTTGTCTAGGTGCTATTGTCGAACAAACAGAGACCATCCCATCTGCGAGGTTGTAAACGGAAGCGCTGTTTTTAATTCTAGCATCGGGACAGCAATGACCAGGGATTAGTCAGAACGAGTATTTGAGCAAAGTTCTTGTACATATACCTACACCATGTTAGAAAATTGCCAGAAGCGTGAGGATGCAAGTCAGTCAAAGGAGCGGTGGTGTGTCGTCTAAAAACTCCCGGTGTGGTAGTAATTGTATCGTTATGAAATAAGACCGAAGGTGTTCATATAAAGCACTTCTCGACTTAGGTGCAAGTTAGGAAAATTCTACATTTTAAAACATATTTAAAAATAAGTACAGGAAATAAGAACAGGAATTTTCCGCTAGACTATAGACTGGATTATAGACTAGACTATAGAATAAACTACAGACTAGACTATATACTAAACTATAGAATAGGCTATAGACTAGGTTAATGACTAGACTAGGTTATAAAATATACTACAGACTAAGATATAGAATATAATATAAACTAGACTATAAACTGGACTATAGACTAGACTGTGTACTGGACTTCACTTTTAAACTATAGTATAAACTAAAGACTAGACTATAGACTAGACTATAGACTAGACTATAGAAAAGACTATAGACTAGACTAAAGACTAGACTATAGACTAGACTATAGACTAGACTATAGACTAGACTATAGACTAGACTATAGACTAGACTATAGACTAGACTATAGACTATAGTCCAAAATATAGTTCGAACTAGACTAGACAATAAACTAGACTACAGGCTAGACTATAGACTAGACTATAGACTAGACTATAGACTAGACTATAGACTAGGCTATAGACTAGGCTATAGACTAGACTATAGACTAGACTATAGACTAGACTATATACTAGACTATAGACTAGACTATAGACTAGACTATAGACTAGACTATAGACAAGACTATAGACTAGACTATAGACTAGACTATAGACTAGACTATAGACTAGACTATAGACTAGACTATAGACTAGACTATAGACTAGACTATAGACTAGACTATAGACTAGACAATAGACCAGACTATAGACTAGACTATAGACTAGAGTATAGACTAGCTTTAGACTAGACTATAGACTAGACTATAGACTAGACTATAGACTAGACTATAGACTAGACTATAGACTAGACTATAGACTAGACTATTGACTAGACTATAGACTAGACTATAGACTATACTATAGACTAGACTGTAGACTAGACTATAGACTAGACTAGACTATAGACCATACTATAGAATATACTGTAGACTAAACTCTAGACTAGACAATCAAAAAGTACTTATGTACTGAGTTTTCCATGCCTGTTTGCATTGATTTATAAAAAAATCTAGCCTTTTCAAATTATACCAACACTACTAAAGTAATTACTGTTTAAAAAACTATAAAAATAATTAAATTAAATTAAAATAAAAAACAAAATAATTTTTTTTTTTTCAAAAAAATGTTTTTATTATTTTTTTGTTTGTTTTTAAAGGCTTCTTTTGTTTAGTTAATAATAAAGAGAAGAAAATAAAGTACAATAATAATAATAAATCATATAAACTTTGTTTGAACTTAAAAAAGACAAAAATTGAAAATTTTAACAAAAAGAAAATAAATTATAAGAGAAACTAAAAACTAAACATACAAAAGAAGAAAAATAAAATAATAATTGAAAATAAGTACTTAAATAACAGTTTTTCTTTTTAAACTTAAACTTTATTATTATTATTTTTTAATTAACAATTATAGTTGAAACTGAATTTATGTATTTAAGGCGGAAACTAAAGATTTTAATTAATTAAGTTTTAAGCACACAATTTATTGATAATATAAAGAATGAAAAAAAAAAAACAAAAGAAACTAATAAAAAATTATACATAAATGGAGCATTTCTTTTTTTATACAGAATTATTTAATAATTAATTATTTTAAAAGAATTTACTTGATTTTTTTTTTATTTTAAACTTAAGCAAAATACTTTTTTTATGGAGTTTATTTAAAAAAAAATATTAAGAACAAAAACAACTAGCAAAAAAAAATTATAATTATTATTAAAAAAAATTATATATAAAACAAAATAATTATAAATTATATAAATATTTATAATTGTTTTTGTTTTTGTATTGAGTGTGTAAATATGGTAAATAATTAACACGGTGTAAATTAATGTACTTTTGCACTAAAATAAAAAAAAACTTAAAAGTTTTCTTTTCTTTTTTTGTTTTGTTTTTCTTTTACGTGGTGGTGTTGAAGTCTAAGCAACAAAAGTTTGAAAATAGTTGAAAAAAAAAAGAAAAATTTTCGGGGTTTTGAAAAAAGTTTGAAAAAAAACAAAATTAGTTAATTTCTTATTTAAACTAAAATTTGGCTAGTTTTGTTGTTTTTTTTTTTTAATTTCTTTTGAAAAAGAACATTTTATAACGAATTTTAAATTTATAACGTTTTTTTTCCAAAAAAAGTGTAATTGTTTATAAAGTGTTTTTAAGTCTGCATTTAAATCTTAAAGAAGTCAATTATTGTTTTGTTCTAAATATTTTTGTAACTACAACAACATTAAGGTTTTGTTTTTTCTGTTTTAGCAGTATGGAAATAATAATAACAAAAGAAATTAAACTTTAAAGAAACAAATGATGATTGATTCTGTTAACTAATTTGTTTGGTTTTTACACAATTTTAAAAAAAATAAACAAAAAAGTTTTTTAAAAAACAAGTTGTACAATTATGAATCTTAAGCTGTACGTTTAAGTGTTGTTGGGGGGAGGGGTGTAAGTGAAGTTTTTCAAAGAAAGAAGAGCGTGTTTTTGGTAGTTTTGTGTGTTTTTAGAAACTTACTCCTGGTTATCTATGTCACTTTCGTCTAATTCACTCTTGTTACGTCTCTTCTCGTAAATCAAAATAATGGTACACAGTATCAAAACCTCAGCACAGATACCCAAGAAAGGCCACAAAGCGGCAAATTTGCCTAGAAAATACAAAAACAAAGCATTAAAACAAAAAAAAAAAAACTTCAAAAATTCCTTTACTACATACCTTTTACACGT